ATCATTCTGTGTTTTCTTATTTAACTTATCACAGCAATAGTAACAACAATTAGGTAATCATTGGCTGTCGCGGGCCAGATTGATGACAGTAAATCATTGGCTGCCGCGGGCCGGATTGACGACACTGGCGGGCCGGATTTGGCCCGCGGGCCGTAGTTTGAAAACTCCTGTATTAGACAATGGAAGTCTGAACTGATGAAATACATAGTACTTATAGTGAACGAGTATCAAATTTCTTAAAACAAAAATCGAGACAAGAGAGAACAAGATGTTTGAAAAGAAACGTGTATGTGAAAAATTGATAGACGACAATAACAGAAAAAATGCGTCACGCCTGCGAAGGTTTCGAAATGAATCGCGAAAATTGAAAGATGTAGATGCTAAATTGTCAATTTTATATTTTCATAATTTGTTTTATTATATGTTTCATATTCACACATATTCAAACTCTGGAAACAGAGTTAGACCTATAAGAATCCCTTTCACAGAATCACAGAAGGAATTCAATTACCTCCCTTCAGTCGAGATATCGATCTTTATATAGCTCAACTAAGGTTGTGAGTCTAGTCACAAAATATATTTTTGAATCGACTGACGAAAGAAATTTCATTTGCCTTTTCAGTAAAGTTTGCGACACTTTGGACACATCTACATTGTGTAAGAAACTATGTGTAGGTTTTAACTACAGTGTAGTATTACTTTCAGAAAGCTATGTCAAGAAATGGACCCAAATTGACCACCTTGATAGTAATTTTTCAACTAGTATTTCCAAAAACTTTCATGTACCTCGAGGTTCTGTCGTTTGACCGCAGTAAAATATGCTGATGATAAACGATATGGAGTCTCTCCCTCAGCGCTTCCTATCTTTAAATTAAAATAAAACAAAGTATGTGTGTGTGTGTGTGTGTGGAATTATCATTGGAAATTTTTATTCGTTTGAAAGACCTATTGATGGCATTATGTGTGGAATATAACATCTTTCTGGGTGGAGCGCATCCGAAACGTCCAATTTTCCCATGACTCTGGCTCATAAGTCAAGCTGAATTTGAACGCTGTGGTTTGTGGCTTATTCAAATACACTTCCAACTCATGAAAGACCCACAATAAACGGGGTCGAATCGCACGATCTCGGTGGCCACGTGTCCATGCCTTAAAATCGAACGTGCAGAATCTCAAATGTGGCATGAGCTGTGTGGCACGTAGTGCCGTCCTATTGAGAAAGTTAATCAACGACCTATAGTGCTTGTCGTTGACAGTGATGGCCTGGTCAACGTCGTTCTCGAAGAAATATGGACTGATGACGCTACCAGCTCCAAATCCAGACCAAACAGTGGCTTTTTCGGGATGCATTAGACGCTTTTGGATATCATGTGGATTGGTATCGTCCCAAATTCGAAAGTTTTGTTTGTTCACATACTCATTCATGCAGACTGCCTCATAGCCTATTCAGCGATCCCACGTCGTTCTCTATGATCTTTTGTTTTCAGTTCCTGGGTTAGGCCCAAGTCAAGATGCAAAATTCGCCAAGTTGTGGTCTGCTAAAGGCCAAATTCTTTTGACCGACGCGAATCCGACTGCTTCGGATTCTCCTGCACACTCTCACACACAACGGCGATGTTTTAAGTATAATTTGCGTTTCATCGACGAACGGGTGTAGGTTGATCGTTCATTGAATCACTGGGACAAAATTTATCCACCACATTGCGAATAATCCTCTCAGTAGGACGATACATGTGACCGTCAAATGGGCGAAGCGCGCCTTAAGATACCTGAATAGAACACTCATTTTGATAAAACAATTTTATCATTTGCACGTCTTGTTGAATGCTACATCCGTCCATGGTCATTTGACAAAACATACTGAATAAATGACTACTAATTTGACAGATGACCGTTATCAATTGTCAAAGTTCGGAGGTCCTTTGTGAAAGACCCTATAGATCTTATGCGACTTCAACGTGTACAAAATAGTTGTATCAGGTTCTCCCATGGTATTCGTATTAGTCTCTCTTATCAAGTTTCTGGCTGTCTTTGATTGAAGTATTTGGGAGAACTTCACTTACCTATTTTCATTCAATTTCTTTTTCTATAGGGATCACCCTTTCATTTACGTGAGTTGTTCTTCTCGTAATTAATATACTTTACTCATTTCCAAACATTTCAAGAATCCCACAAGGTTGTATAACTCCATTCCTTGGGAATGCAAAGAAAGTCCACTGAGAAACTTCAAGAAATTTGTTTCTTGAAAGGCTATTTAGGGTAGCCGCATATAAGCTAGCCCCATAATGAATGACCCTGGTTCCCTGGAAATGTGGCAGAGCTGCCGTTTGGGATTTCACATGTGCAGATACATCAGCTCCATCTCATTTAGTTGGAACGTCCAAAAGTGCAGGTGCTGCTGCCATAACCAGTGAGAAAGCAAAACAGCAAAAATATCGAAATGTTGAAAACAACTTTATACTGTATCCTGTGGCTGTAGAAACTTTCGGTGTATTTGGGCCCTTATATCTGAATTTTGTCAACGAAATCGGCAGAAAGAGGACTGAAGAAACTAAAGAAAGAATATGTACCACTTTTCTGATCCAAAAAATTAGTTTAGCTACAGCGTGGTAATTCTCTTCTGTTTTTGGCACCATCCTATCGTCACATTCACTGGATGAAATTTTTCTTCATCCCTTTGTTTCCAAATCCTATTTATACCCTAGTCATGATGGAAGATTGTTTCCTCATAAAACCTCCCATATTCCTTGTGATACTCCCCATAATTTCCCATCAGAAGATACAGAGAAACATGAACAATGTAGTATAAACAATATCGGATCAGAGATACATTCTTCAGTCAAAACTCTTGGGTTTAATGGGTTGAAAAATATTGGAAACACCTGTTTCATGAACAGTATAATCCAATGTTTATCAAACACGAGATGGTTGTTGGAATATTTAAAAACGAATACATACATGGAAGATATCAATACTAGTACTTCTAGTATGAAAGGTGCTTCAATCAAAGCGTTTGCAGAAGTTATCAAGGAATTGGGGTCAGAAGTTTCATTTGATAGAGTAATAAACACTGCCTACTTTAAAAGTCAGATTCAAAGATTTGCCCCTCGGTTCATGGGATATTCCCATCAAGACGCCTAGGAATTCCTTCGATATCTTTCAGAAGGTTCACATGAGGACCTCAATGGAATTACTGAGAAACCTAAACCGATCTTAACGGAGATTGACAAAAAATTGAGCGACAACGGAAAAGCGCAAGAGTCCTGGCTGAGATACATGAACATGAACAACTCTAAGATTGTAGACAATTTCGTTGGTCAATTAAAATCTACTATGAAGTGCACACACTGTGAATTCTCATCAGTAACCTTCGATCCTTTCTGGGATTTGTCTCTCCCTATACCACAAAGAACTGGCCAATTGAGTTTGTCACAATGCTTGGATATCTTCACAAAAAAAGAAACCCTGGATGGAGATGAAAAACCAACTTGTTCGAGGTGCAAGGAAAAAAGAAAATGCACAAAGTCCCTATCAATCCATAAGTTTTCCCTTATTTTAGTAATTCATTTAAAAAGATTCTCTCCAACGGAAAGATTCAGAGGCAAATTGAATGTTGCCATTGAATTTTCTTTAGAAGGATTAGATATGAGCAATTATTCAGCAGACTATGTGGTTCCTTGTTGTTACAATCTATAAGCACTTTTGAATCACAGTTTGACTACTTACAACGAATATTACACAGCAGACACCATTATAGTGGCACGTGGAATGAATACAACGATTCACACGTGTCCCCGATTTCACCAAAATCGCTTGTGACTGAGGAAGCATATATCCTTTTTTATGAACAGGAGGCAATAAAGCAGCACTTTTGAGGTGTTTTTTTCCTTCTCTCTTTTAATAAGCTAAATTCTGTTAATTGATTTGTATTTCATTCATTGGTTCTTTAGATTATGTCTAGCATAATATTGAACAAGTCAGCATAGTACAGTATCAGTATAAGATAAATTAATATTAAAAACATTTTATACAAATTGTAGTCAATATAATTAATATAGTTATTGATGTAACTGCATGGAAGCACGTAAAAGGATCAATATAATAGTATTGGTGGTTAATTATTTGTAATTGGTTATTAATAACTATTTCATACATAATCCAGAACAAGTCAGGTGTCAGGAACAGTTTGTCCACGCGAGTTGTCGTTTATACAAATAAGAGATTTAACTTATAAACAGATTACAGATCATACATAAACACATCTAAAAGCAATAAAAACAAGTGGTTTGATAAAATATGAAAATATGTATGCATACATGAAATATAAAATCAGTTAGAATCGGTGTCTCCCAAATACCCACTTATAGAGTAATTCGCTTTTTTAATAATATATTTTTGACTGGGTACTATTTTGAATTAATTCAAAGGAAGATCTTTGTAGCAGTTTGGTAGATGATTAAACAAGGTTATTGCCATGTATTTTGGGCAACGTTCTGTTTTTTGGAGACGGTGATTCGGCACTTCCAGGATTGCTGCATTTCTTGTGTGATATCTGTTTCCCGGCGCTCTGATTGAGGCCAACTGTGTTTTGGCATATTTCAGTATGTGCATGATATACAAAAAATGGTAAGTCAGGATTTTCAGCTGTACAAATATATCCTTACAGCTTACTCTCCTGGCCACTCCAACGATAATTCTAACTACTCTTTTCTGAAGTTTGAGTACATTTAGATAGTTAAAGACACTTACCATTCTAGGTTGGGTTTCAGCACAGCTCTTATGGCTGAACTCCGTTTGTTCATTTATATTTATTATGTATCACGTATTATTACTCAATTGTATTATTTTGTGGAAAACGATGAATAGAGACATCTATTCTCCACAAAATTTCTGGAGATCAAATCATGAGGTGTAGTTTTTGAAATTACTATGGATCTTCATCAAGTAACGGCCGAAATAATCAGAAAAGCAATTTAAACTAATGTATCAATAATTTTTAGGTTACAATGTCATATTTGGAAATTTACAACGAACAAATCAGAGATTTACTAAATCCCCAGTCTGGTTACTTAGAGTTGAGAGAAGACTCCAAAGGAAGGAATATTCAAGTGGCAGGTCTTTCAGAAATCTCGACTACCTCGACTGATGAAGTAAGTGAACGTGAGAATATTTGTTTTCGATTTCAATATTCAATATTGTTCAAAATTTTCAGAGAATTAGTCGCATACAGAGTGCAGCATCTTCACCACTTGTAAATCTATAATGAAACCTCAAAAGCTGTTTCGCCTTTTGTTCGGTCCAGAGAAGTCAGTCCATTCTTCATATTGTTGACTCTCTTGTTATCCAACAGCCACATCAGGTTCACTTGATTGTTTTTTATGATTTGTCTCAGCGAATGATTGCAATGAATAAATGTCTGAAAGTATGATTTTCTGATTGAAAAATTATAGTGGTAATGTCAAGACATTGATGGAGTCGAAACTTCATCTAGAATGAATTAAAAGGGGTATATATTTCAGATAGATGAATTTTTGAGGAAGAATTGTTAAGGCTTTTTTTATACAAAAAAAAATTGGGAATCTTCTGAAGGAAGGAAGCAATCAATCAATTTCGAAAAGATGAGATGTGTAAATCATGCAAAGAAGTAACTTTCGGACACAAACTGAAAGACATATCAGAAATACGCGACGGACTGTGGCTGCTCATTATTTTGGGGTTCAACTCAGTACACCTTCACTGTTTAAAAACTATTTCATCTGGAGAACTGCGTTTATGTAGAATAAACTTCCTGAGAACGTTTTTCCAAATGAATATAATCTCCAGCGATTCAAATCTAACGTGAATCGCTACTTCCGCACAGGCACCGCTCTGAGAGCGCCTTAAGGATTTTACTGTAGTGCTTATGTTTTGTTCTGAAAAAAAATAATCATGTAGCAGATATGCATCACGTCTGTGATTATAGATGTCTTTCAGTTCCCCAAACAAGGTTACCCACGGAATCCGTTCTACAGCCACTTCAACATATCGATCTTCCAATGAGAAATTGTTGCAACTTTCATTTTCAAGTATCTTGGTGAAACCAGCGCCAATAAAATGAGTAAAAAAATATGTTAAACATTTTTTTTCTAAAAAAGACAATAATGATGTGGATAATGTAATAAAAGCTGAGAAATAATTTGGAAGGTCCTAGGTAGTAGTCATCATATCACTCTCTTCAGCAATCTACGGTATTGATTAGATAAAAAAATAATAAAATCGTTGGGCTTAGCGTAACCTGAGTAAATATTTAAATACTACTTTTGGTGGGTTTTTGCCTTTGAAAAGTGCCTGGGTGGCTTTTCGGTGTCCAACCACTGTCTTGAAAATCTCATGTTTCCATAGGGAATCCATTTTTAGTCACACGTGACAATCGTTTGAGTTGCGCAAAAGCAACCCCCGTGACTGTTTAAATCGTATTGAACCCACTTTTTGAGATTTTTCCAATACGTTTGAAACTGTCAAAAACCGCATGAGGGCTGACGCACAGTTCCCCGCCATCCCACGCACAGTTCCCCGCCATCCCACGCACCGTTTGTTAGGGGTCAGTCTTCACCAGGATCCTCAATCCCTCGTCCTGGATTTCTGTAGGTCGACCACTTTGGGGCTCACCTTCGAGGCTTAAATCACTGGAACGAATTTTCGCAAACTGATGTCAACGACATCATGAAGTAATGAGATGAAAAAAGAGAAAACATCAAAATTTGGAAAAAAAACTTACATCAATGTATAGGCTGCAACATTCTTTATCGATCAGTATATATCACGACGCAGTGCAATAAATATTTATTAACATATGAAGCTACAAAAACAGTTGACATTAAAACGAACAAACCTTTGGAAACAACCTTTTTTTTGGTACCTTGGGAGCTGTCTGACTTGTCCATTCAGTCCAAGTTTCCAGAAAACACTGCAGCCTCTTGGTCTTATTGCATTTATTCTCCCATCTTCTCATGTTACCCATTCCATCAGTCTCGTTCCCTGTACTAGTTTGTACAGGTTCCGTGTTGGATGTTCGTCATATTCTTCTGGACGTTATTTTGTACGTTCATATATTGCCTGCCTCCTGTGATTCAGTGCATCACATTCGCAAGATGTGATGTTGTACAGCCCCATTTTATTCAGGTGTCTTCTAAGCGGACAATGACCGGTTTTATGGTTTCTCGGACGGTTCTCTAACGAAGGTTCTACTGTGTTTGTTGCCAGGTACTTTTGTCCAGTACTCTGTGTGCTTCTTACTGGTCCACGTCCTTATCTGGTTTCGTACCAATGATTAACAACCCTATAATAATGACCAAAATATATTGATGTTAATTATTCACCGAATAAAATTTCAAGCTCAAAGCCCTCATCATAATTTACCTTCTTCTGAGCAAACCCACCTGCCTTTTAATCGTATGAATCCGTTATTGATTGATAAGTGTGGCGTGAAACATTCAAAAATTACTCTACTAATCATTATTGGAGTGATAATTGGATGTTTGCGCTATTTCGTGAACAATAATTGTTTACTGTACAGAAAAGTGGCATGTTTGTATTGTGAATGATTTAAAGCACAGCCACAGAACTGTGACAGTAAATCAATTATTGGATGGTTTGTTTGGCATGTCTGTGTAAATAGAAACTCTTGTCATCGTTGAAATATTTTGTATAAAATCCGGCATGACAGGATAACGTAGTTGAATAACTGACAGTTACCCTCTACTATTGCTTATTTTGTTTTTCTGGATAATCGTAATTTTCTATTTCTAACTTCAAAGTTGTCAACAACAAATATGAACTGAAGTTGAGTGAATATTACTTGAAATACATTCAAAATGAAGAGTAATTTAGGAAAATACTCCAAACGAATGATAAAATGAGTTTCAGTTTCTCAAATTTTTCATTATACTTTTCTTCAACTGTGAAAAAAAGTTTTCTTAGCCGTCGGTGTTGAGTTTTGAATAAAGTGACTGGAGATATAGGTACAATATACGAAGCTTGATTGGATAGGGATCAATTGTTCTGTTGAAAAATTACTATATCTCCCGCCAGCAATTCATAATATACAGTGTGTAAAAGCCAAATGGGAAAAATTCATCATTAACTTGGTAATGTGATGGTTCTCCATCCTGCTGAAACCATATCGTATTCACTGAAACTTGAGGGTTTTCTGGATCAGAATATAAATTTGCTAAACTTGGAATGGCATAATTTTGAAGTAGTGCCAAATAATTATCGCCATTCAAGTTGCCCTCAATGAAAAAAGGACCAATGATATGGTTTCCTATAATCGCTGCCCAAACATTAACCTTGTGAGGGTATTGCGTATGTTCTTCTCTCATCCAGTGAGGATTTTCCATTGACCAATAACGGCAATTTTGACGATTAGCATGGCCGTTGAGAGACAAAGTACACTCATCAGAAAACATAACGCCTTCTAATTGGATTATATTGTTATCCAACATGTCCATCATTTGACCACAAAAATAAGTTCTCTTATCAAAATCGTTTTCCATGAGCTCCTGAGTAGGTATCATTTTATAGGAAGGCATTTTATTTTCTTTTAATATGTTTACTATTGATGTATCGATAACATTGAAAACTATGTAAATCTGTTATTTTATGCATTTCCGTTAATCTAACCATTTGTCAGAATTGAAGTTGAATCTTAAATTAAAATACAGACAACTAATGTATAATAAAAACAATTTGACAAGGCGTTTTAAACTAACGTTGCCACCGAAATTATTTACAGTTTTTTTAAAGGATACCATCTAAAAAGAACATTGCTATGATTTTTGCTCACTTTCTTATTATCAATATCTCAACATGAAATACGTTTTGAGTATATTGCAATAAGTTTTGAGTGTAATTCATTGAATTTCGGTAACCACATGAATTTGATTTATTTTATTTTAATTGTTGCAATAAACTCAAAACCAATAACATTTTTGAATAGAGAATGAAGAGGCCTTTCAAACGAAATATCACAAGCTTATACTTCCTATTTAAAGAATTGGGGGTTGTACCTGTCATTTGACGGGGGTTGAAGGTAGGGCTAGCATTTTTCCGTTGAAGTAAATTTGATGTGCTTCGGGATTTTGTAAAAATATGTATTGTAACCGAAATAATGAAATTATTCCGTTTGTCTTTTACACACTGTATTAATTTTACCCAGAGGCTTGATAATCAATAAACTTTTTTCTATAAAACCATTTCACATACTGATGGATAGTTCAACCTTGTTGCACTACCTAGAAGTGGTAGGACTTTAGTAGCTGATACTAAAATAAACGGTAGTATTTTACTCGATTACTACAATCATTCGACTGGTTTATTCAGCTCTGATTTGATTCACTCATCACACATTGGATTGAACTGTCTGATAGTGCCCTTCAAAAAACTTTGAGTAACCAAAGATAAGTTGCTTAAAATCATCTACCTTCTCTGGTTCTCGTTCAGTTCAGTCTTTTCGTCGTTCATTATCTCCTACAAAAATATCTCAATGAGCGACAGGTAACATTTTTCTGTCAATTGTAGGACCGCACCTGCCCACTCTCATTATTTGCAATATTCGCAAATTTCTCCTGCAATAGATGCAGTCATTCATTTCCTTCGTCGCTCCAGATAACTAGGGACAAATCTCAATTTTTCTCTGGGATTGTTATAATCACAAATGATCTCGGACTCTGAAATGGGTATCCTTGTGACTTTCCAGCCATTCTCTGATTTCTATGATGAACTTGATATGCATCTTCTGGTTGGTGTCGCTGAGTGGCAAACCGAATTGTTGGATGATGTTGATTTCTACTTCAGTCATAAGCATGCACCTATTACTTCAGAAACAGCGTCCCTGTACTTCAGAATGAATAAAAACATCAGCTTGCCCAAGACTTTTTTATTTCAGGTATATTTTCCCGTCGTTGGTGGTGTTAAAAGAATATCCTCCTGCTACTTTTCTACATATAAAATGCCCTTTTATGACTCCCAGAGGTTGACACCTCGTCAAAGTGTAAATATCACACCATTCATAACAGCATCCATTTGCTCGTTCGTCATCCCTAAGAACTGATATCGATGTTTTCATTTCGAACCGTAGACTGATTGTAGTCTACTTTATCTCTTGAAGACGTCAACTAGGCTGGTAGAATGTATCTCAAGAATAGTGTTGCAGTTCTGGTGTTTGGTAACAGTGCTTTATTGAGACAAATCAAATTTGGCAATCCCTCAAGTAACCGTTCGAAAGTTTGCCCCTTCTCAGATCCGATCTGCTATCTATAAATGCCCACTAAAGCAGATATGATTTTTTCAGGTGATGCTCCTACTCCACAGAGGAAATAAAGCCAGAACCGTAGAACCCACAGCAATGAACAAAACTTCATCTAGAAGTCACGCTCTTCTTAGCGTCACGGTTCGCCATTCCATTCCTGTGGACAAGGAGGATCATCTACGGATGAGAGTGAAGAAAGGTCGCCTCTTCATGATCGACTTGGCAGGTTCTGAGAGAGCGAACAAGACAAAGAATAGAGGGAAGAGGTTGCAAGAGGGTGCTCATATAAATAGGTCTCTCTTGGCTCTTGGGAACTGCATCAATGCATTGAGTGGAGGTGCAAGGTGAGTAATTAACTGGTCGTCCATTATTATGACGAAGAAATGCGCAATTTACTAATGAAAATGGAGTATATAGATGTCCGCCAAAGGGAGCGGTGTGAAACGCATGAGCTAGCGAGTACTTTACTTTTTCAATTACTTCATGTGGCACTATTTGCGAAATGTGGCATGAAAATTATTTCTCATTTTAGTAAATACATTCAAATTCAAAAAATCTAGGTCGTATCTGATATGGCCTCCGTTCCTTGAGATAACAATTTACGTTGCTCTAGGTTCATTTGTTGGTTGAGTTGGTTTCGTTCTGAGAAATTTGAAATGTAACAAATATGTTTTATGAAACAAATTAACGCAGATGCCTAGTAAACCGCAAAGCATTTTTAGTAGTTCCTTCAAACGAAAAAACTTTTTCCTACAGCAATTTGTTTTGAATCCTAAATATAAAATGAACACATCAACCTTCAGTGCGTGAATGAATTTGCTACATTAGAACTAAGGAATTGTTTTTAGTAGGAAATAGATTTGAAATAAATACTTTTTTAGCTATGTGCGGCTTCATTGATATTTGAAGAAGCAATTGAAATATTTCAATTTGCTATTCTTTGGAATTTACCGTTTTTTCGTTAACCAGAGGAGAAAAAACGGATAAAATATCGGGATTTTCTCTTCGAACCCCGTAGACTCTATCCAGACCACTCTGTCATGATGATTGTTCTGATTATTGGAGTCCTTGATGAAATGATGTCCTTTCTACTCTCGAATCTTAAAATCATACCGGCTTGCCGCACTGAGGCAGAAATCTTAGCCGGACAGATGCAGAAGGCTGTCATTCTTGGCTCACTACGCTTGCTCAGGGCACATGATTCTCGGATCCAATGATCATTTATCCCACGGTGTAGGGAGTGGTCGTTAGTTGATAATGCTGGCGCGCCATCCCGAATGTATCGGGGCTTTGGGGGATAGGGCCTGACCAGCGCATACGACGGTATAAAAATAAAATGTATGCGATCAAAATATATACAACGAGCGGTACACAAAATATTGGCAACGTATTAGAACAGATATTGAATCAATCCACAAAAGAAATGAATTCTTGTGCGTTGGTACGCAATAAAGAAATAAAGAAATACATATATGTATAATTCTACTTCAAGTCCATGCACGTAGTATACAATGTAACTTACACATTCACACAATACAATTTGAAACTATAGATAAAACTAATTTTAGTAACTTTACAAGTATATCATCAATTGACATTATTTCCAAAAAATGTACGAATGGACAAACGAGGTGTTTCAAATATATGTTCACCGACTCATTTTTTGAATAGAACATACAAGTTGGCTTTTTGAATATGAAGTGGCAAACTATTGAATACTGTCGGTCCTAGAAACTGAAACGACTTTTGTCCTATAGATTTTGCGACATACAGGTTTATATTTGTCGTCGTAAACATATGTGTTATTTTATTGAGTTTTTTTTTGGTATTGTTCAAATTGCAGAGATTTATAAATAAGTTGTCTAGCATCCAGAATATTCTATTGTTTATATAGTGCTTCGGTTGCATATCTCATGTTTTTGTTAAACATTGACTCTAGGAATCTTCTTTGAATGACCTCGAGTGGACGTAGATACTTTTTTGAAACTCCTCCCCAACTCGCCATGCAATACTTATATGGCTTTGCACTAGGCTGAAATATAGAGTTTTTACATGGCTGAGGTCTAGTATGTCCTGAAAGAAGTGAAACTTATACAAGATATATCTTAATTGTAGTAGAATGTACTAGAAATATTTAGTTATATCCAATTTTTATTAGGTAACTTTACTGCTACTATTGTTTCAACTTTTTCTTTTACAGATATGTAAACTACAGAGATTCAAAACTGACCAGACTTCTGAAAGAAGCCTTGAGTGGAAATTGCAAAACTGTTATGATCGCCCACGTTTCACCTAGTGCTGCCCAGAAAGATGAATCGAGGAATACTCTTATTTACGCCGATAGAGCTAATAACATTACCAACAAAATAGAAAGGAATGTCTTGGATGTTTCTTATCATGTCACCCAGTACCAAACAGTGATCACTGAGTTACGTGATGAAATATCCCGACTACAGAATAAAATGAAGGAAGAAAGACCAAGATCGGCGGATATCAACAGGATGAATGCCGAACAAAGGAGTAATGAGGTGAAAAAACTCAGAGAACAAATTGTTGAGACTTTCAAAACGCAGATGAAGCTGAGGAGGAAATTAATGGAAATCGATTCTCATCTATTGGGATTGGGCATGGAATCCGAGAGGCAGCATGTGATAATTTCCCACTGGGAATCTAGAAATAACAAGCTCTACAAAAATAGTATTAACGAGTCTAGAGCACGAACTCAGCAGAATATGAGGTAAAATTGTATATTCATTGGTTCATTGGTATAATGCATATAATCCTATATTCGGTTGGCTGGAAGAGCTGAGAAATGAATCCTGACATTTGATGAGTTTTTATTTTCAACTAGTGACCCGATCGAACTTCGCATTGGTTGCAAACACATATACCCACACATTTTTTCGTCATAGTGTCTGTCACATCAGCTTTCAGATGAAGAAGGTTCCTGTTTCAAAGGCGTGCCTTTGAAGATATGAGGGCTAAAAGTTTGTTCCTTTTAGAACAGTCCAGAACATTGGAAAATATTTGTGACCACTCAATCAACATTCCAGAACATTTCGGAATAATATGGAATGTCGTGGAATGTTCGGGATTATTCTGGAACATTCTGAAAAATCCTGAAACATCCCATAATACATGGAATGAGCAAGGAATTTATATGGTGGGGCAGCTCTTTATGCCACATCTACGAAAAATATCCCCGTTTTCATCTGAAGGGACCTGAGTGAATTTCACTTCCTGAAATGTTCTAGAACAATCCAGAACATTTGAGAGTATTTGAAAGCATTTCACAATATCCTTGAACCTTCTTAAATGTTCTGGAATGTTCTGAGATGTTCGGGAACATACCGGATCATTGGTGTTGTATATTGGGAATGACTGGGTGAAATTATTCAATTGCAAGTAAAATATCAAGGTCCTTTATTCCCTCAAAACGTTTCCAATAGACTGCGAACATACAATATAAAAATAAAGGTAGCAACATGAAAAACATTGGTATTTCTTACTGAAATAAATAATATGGATATACCGGGTGATTAAATAGGTACATTTTCAATAACAGTATACCACATCCTCCACCATCAAATCAAAACTTAAAAGATAAAACATAAATTCGAAAATAATATTACTAATTCTATAGGTACCCTTTTCAGTTCAAAAAATATAGTAATTTAAAAAAAACAAAAACAATTCATTCATAGTTTAAACGCTCTGGTGGTTTTCTATTTCTTTTTGGTCTACTCACATCAGGTTGTATATCAATAGGTGAATTGTTTGAAACATTTAATTCTCCATGTACGAGCAGGTCATTATTCAAATCGGTTTTCTCTAGATTCCTATTCTCGGTGGAAACCCTACAATCTCGCAAACCATTTTGTAATTTGCATTTTCTAATTTGGTTAGTGTGACGTTTTCATAATTTGACGATTTCAGGAATTCTAACAATATAGGTACACTTACCAATAACCTTTACAACTATTGCCGGTATCCAAGTATATTTATTAATTACTCGGTAATCTTTTACAATGACTTTCTCGCCAATAACAAATTTCCTATCGATCTTTCCCCCGAAGTTTTCTATTTGCTTTTGTTGTCTATCCAAAACTCTCTTTTGAATTTCTAGTTTCCAGTCGGGTTTCAGACTACTGAATCTGGTTTTCAAATCACGCCCGAACATTAATTTTGAGGGTGAGACTCCTGTTGTACTATGAATACAATTCCTGTAATCAAATAGAAAATTATTCAATGCGGTGTTTATGTCAATATTTTTATTTCGTCCCAGAGAATTCTTCAGCGCATTCTTTATATTTTTGACGGTATTTTCGGCTGCGCCATTCGATTGTGGAAAGAATGGTGATGATGTAATGTGTTCAATATTATATTTTTATAAAAATTGCTGAAATTCAGCACTTGTGAAAGATTTCGCGTTGTCCGAAACTATAAGTTTTGGTAACCCGTACCTTGCAAATGTACTATGCAATGCTGAAATTGTGAAATTTGATGTGATATTAGAAGTAGGAAAAACTTCCACCCACTTTGAGTGAGCATCTAAAATTATGAGAAAATATTTATTTAGAAAAGGCCCCATGTAATCAATGTGAATACGAGAAAAAATTTCTTCTGGCCATTTCCAAGGAATCAATGTTGTTTTTGGGGGGCTATTTTTATTCACTGAACAATTGTCGCAACTATTACATGTAAATTCTATATCTTTATTGATTCCCGGCCAAAAAAAATTTACTCTTGCAATTGATTTCATTTTTACTATCCCAAGATGTGACAAATGTAATTGCTCAAGCAATTGTCCTCTCAAACTTTCAGGTATAACAATTCTGTTATTCCACAACAATACTTCATTTTCAATTGTCAACTCATTTCGAATCATATAAAATTGTTTGAATTTAACATTTTTTTTCGCGTACTTTGACCACTCATTTTTCATAAATTTCATAACGTTTTGTAAAACCTCATCAAGTTTTGTAGACTCTTTGATGGAATTGAAATTTGTAGATATCAATTGACTCTCTGAAAAATAATTTAGGCATTTTCGATAAAAACTCATATGGGTAGCACGACTCAGTCATAATTCAACCAGTTCACACGACACATCAACAAATTAAACAATAAATCATCCTCTTAAATCACTTCATCATATGGAAATCCGTTCGAGTGTTTTTGAGTTTATTCCGTTCAGACAGACAGACAGACACGGCGAGGGACTTTGATTCATAATATGAAGTGATCTATATTGTGATATTTTGTCATGATATTGTGATAGTATATTACGTACCGAGTAGGATAAGAAGTCAATTACCCACGAGCGAAAAATTGTAAGCACGAGTGCGATAATTCGCGAATTGACGTAATTGGCCTTATCCTCGTGGTGCATACTATACTTTTTCTACGACGGACCATAGGAAGGAATGGTACCATATATTTGTTTGAGATTATGGCTTCGAAGGATGAACTAATTCAGTAAGTCAGTCAGAACTCAATTGAATGATTTAAAAATTGGTGACAGTATTTCCTACAAATTATTTTATTAGGGTTCATTTTTGTTATAATTATGTGCATTTGTAGTTATATGAATACAATTATTTAATGTTATTCCGCTATTGATGTGGGTGGAAGACGATCGCCATCAATTTAGAATACACGTGTATTCTAGATGAGCCAAACACGTAATGATGAGTTTTTAATGGAGGGAGTAGAAAAAGTAAATTATTATTCCATTTCGATTGTTAGTTGAATGAATCGCGGTATTTTGTAGGAGACGAAATATCTACACCTCCGATGGATTTAGATCTGCTGGTAATGAACAAGATGATTCTGTAGATGCAGATGTAGAAATGGAAGGAGAAGTTGCTGTCCAACAAGCTTGGGGAGAATTGGCTGATATCGAAAGAGAACAGGATAGATGGTCAGAGCTTCGAACTCATATTGAGCAGAAGCTGGAAGTTTGCAGACAGCGGGGTGTTGCATTGGAAGATGTGAGTATTGTGGTCATTTAAGTGATATATGTCATTGCCAAGGGGAATATCTTGGTAACAACAAATGCTTGGACTCGTTCCAAAATAAAGTTGGTGAAATCAAAAGAGGATATGATAGAACCTGATTACCTTTCTCCTATCCCATCACTAATTCGTAACTTCGAATGGTAACTTCTATCTTCATATATTTTTGGAAAGCCCACTAGATAGTAACTATTTTTCAGTGGTTTACAGCTCCAATAATTTTTATACTCACAAAACTGAGTTGATAGTTTTACCTACTTCGTTTGACACTATCTCTCATTCAATAAGGTTGAAGTAACTCACTTGGTTTGCTAAAAATCATGACGATTTTTAGAAATTAGCATGGCCACAAACTATGTTTATCCAAGTTGTACAAGATGAAAAGTATTTAATCATGTTTTTGTTGGTGCTAAATCTGAAGATATTCACTCCAAAAATAATTTATTTCAAAATACAATAAATATTCAATTGATACTGATGAAACTATCATTCAAAGGAGCCCGTTTTCATATGTTTGTATCACTTTAGTAGAATATTTATGCGATTATTAAGTTCTTCAACTGAAAGAGGTTTCCCAGACATCAAATCCAATAGGAAAAAACATGAAAGGGTGTTGGTTGAGAATACAACTATACTATAATAGTACTTCAATTTTTTTCTCAGAAAAGTTTTTTTGTCCAGATTTCCATTATTGCACAAGGCTGGTAAAAGTTCATATTCACATTGACCTTTTGACGGTGATGACTAATGACTTTGATTTATTCAAGATATCATTAATTCCGATATGAAATAGATAGTAGCATAAAGTAGAACTTAAAGATATCATTAATTCCAATATGAAATAGATAGGAGCATAAAGTAGAACTTTTTTCATTTTTTTATAAGCTCCAATAATATTTTTTTTCAGAAAGTTTTTGTTGAGTACTAAGACACTTAATTTGTTAGGAAAAATTCAAGCAATTTTTTCTTGGGTAATAATGGGATTCTCATTTTCACTAAGGATTACTTTTTTATCAAGGACTCTCATTATATATTCAACAATGTTAACATATGAATTTGAATTTTCAGAAACTCCCATCTTTGTTGTCTTCAGATGACGAGAGGGAGATCCTAGCCCTCATGTGTAGGGTACATGAATTAGAAGCCGATAAAATGGCACTTCAATCTGAAAGACTGGTCAGGCAACATGAACTGAAAAGGAGAGATCTATTGATTCTGCGATATGATCGGCAGCGACAAATTTGTGAGGAGATAATCACTAGACAGCGACAACTGATTGAAGGTGAGGTGGATTGTATTTATGATTGAAAATATGAACAGATATAATCTGTTCCACCAATCGAGTTGATGTTATCTGAATATCAATTCCTAGACTCTCTCACATACCATAACAATCGTCTTGATATATTGGCGCGTCTTTCGAATATGATCACTATTGGCCCATTCATAGCCATCAGAGATATTGATTTATCGAAGATGAATTTCAAGAGAAAAAGTGAAAAATAAGTTTCTTCTCTAGGTAGTATATTGTGTCTTTATGATAGTTCTTATGCCATACTTTACTATTTTCTGACTTTCTATCGTGGAAATATAGTGTTACGCAACGCTGCCAACTATATCCGTTCGTCAAGCTTGGGCGACATAAGATTTTTTGGTTTGTGAAAATCCAATATGGTTGATGCATCGAATTCTCTTCGGAAGAAGTTTTGATAGCTAGTTTTGTTTGATCAGCATACTTTATTCAACCTATTATCATATAATAAATAAAAAAATAGAATAAAAATAAACTAAGACATAACATATTTTTAAAGGATCTAGGCTTCACAGACACTTTTAATAAGAAAGGAAAGTCAAAAGCTCAGAGTTGTCTCCACAACTTTTGGGTAGTGTAAGGGACTTTGAGTTCTATTTTTTTTTCATAACTTTGGAGGACATGGTCTTCTTCGAGAAATTACTCTATTATTTAACTTCTTTTGATGAACCTCCAATTCTTACAGATGAAACAAGAAACTGAAATTTTTTTTGAAATATTTGTTAGTGATATCCCATTTGAAAATATTCGTTCTCAAAATTTGAAATCATGAAACTCAATTCTTTACTTATAATTAATTCAGTCAGAAAATCAAGTCACATCGATATTTATTTTCATTCAACTGTTTGTCTGTACAGATTCATTTCTTACACTCAACAAATATTTTTCCAGAAGGAAAACTCAAATTGCCGTCAGATTTACAGGAGCTTTATCAAATGTATCAACAAGAGATCCATGCTGCTACATATACAGACTTTGGACTACCAGATGCTCTGCTCACACCTGATAAGTTGCCGCCCATCAGCAAAGTGTGAGTGTTATTTTCCAGAATATATCTTGGAAGAAACCTGATATCCCTGAAACTGTCTGTAAAAATGATAACGAATTTATTCTCCCCAAGAACACAGATGTATATAGTAGGGTAAAAGCAATTCAAAACTGAAACTTAACATACGAACAAAAGAAAAAATAAATAATCAGAACTGAAACTGGCAAGGAATGAAATACTTGAGTATACTTCAATAGTTTTAAAGCAAGAAAAAATATTAATTATGGAGATGTTATACATGAATACACATATCAGAAAACATCAGTTGCCCATATGAAGCAATAAGTACTTATCGCAATTGTTTCGAAATCGTTGTTGGAAGTTTTTGGTAGCACATTGAAGAAGTTGATATCATCAATGAATTGAAATCTGCCCAACATTCCATTCTCATTATTTTCAGGTTTTTTTTTGGTATTTTGTTGGTCCTTATCAATTTTGAATATTAGATTGAGTTATTCACCTTATAATTCCATTTATATTACAAATAATCAACTCACAATATTAACAACTCAGATTTACATTATTGATGTTACGCTTGATCATCGGGAAGAACTAAAAATTATTGCTCTCATTTTACATATGAGCATTGAATGGACTTCCATTTCCCGACGATTAGAAAATGTACAAATGTAGTTCATTTTAAATGTGACTATTTGATACTAATATGAACAAGGTTCAAGTTCCTGATTGAAATTTATAATAATGAATTTAAATGTGATTTTCATCAAAATTTTTTTCAGAATGCCATAATTCCCTTGTGCTCCCCTAATATATTTGGTTTTATCTTGAACCATTTCTATTATCATCAATATCTATGTTTTTCAGGTACAGTGATCCGATTTTTAGGCGACAGCCTACCACAGATTTGAGTGGAAGTGACGCAAGCGCTCCTTCGCCCCCCTCTTCAGCGGAATCCGGCGAAGATCTTTTACCAAATACCAGCACTTCCTCTATCGATAGGGTGATGGGTCATCCTATAACCAGACCAGGTTTGGTGATGAAACTTCCTCCCCTTCCTCCCAGTCCACCGGTTAGACTGGGAAAAACAACTTCTAGGTGAGATTTTCCATTTAATAATTTTCAAATATCATTCAGTTTCCTCCCTCATTGATTCCACTTCCACATTTTGTCGTTGAGAATCAGGCTAAGTCCATAAGGAGCAGGCATATAGGAGCGATCACATAATTCAAGCAACTGATATTGCCCAATCGAAAGTTTCAGTGCTAAGGAGCCAAAGTCGGACCCAGCAACAAGATTGCTCTGGAAATGGTGTCTATGCAATTTAGGTTCAAAGCAAATCGCTGCAGGCTGAATTTATCTGGAGGAACCGTCTAGGACAGGTTATTCCATAACGATGCTGTTCGGCAAATGCGGTGTAGTTTAAGATGTATCAAGTTGAACTTCGAAGTGCCGATGGATATGAGGTCTATTTTTGAAGATTTTTGACAGTTTAAAAGTTGCTACTACGATTGTTAGTAACGGTAGTTGTCTTGTCGTTTTGAGCTACTCTTGGAACTGAAAACAGACATCACCAAAACGAAACGGTAGTTTGAAAACAAAAGCAGGGTTTCACTTTGCCTAAACCTGTGCAAAAGTATTTCACTGGGGAATGGAGAGTGGAACCAACACCTACCATTAATGCAATTCATTGGCAGGCACAAGTATGAATCTACATCTTTGAATATTCAACCCATTTAAGAAAATTATCTAAGAAAAATCACTAATAACATTCTGACAATGATATAACGTCACTATGGATATACAATGATGTGTTTGGAAAGACGCATAGCCTGAAACTAAAGATATACTGGTCATTACAAAACAGTCATCCAATCTAGAAACATATATTATTGGTCATCATGGTTGCATAAAATGAAGCAACCTCCAGTTCTAGTAGATATGTAGATATTTGGAGGGGTCTGCTGCCTATAAGTCACTTATTGCAGATATACCGGGTGTCCCACATTTTATGTGACAGGCAATATCTGGTTTGTTGAAGGAGATACACAAAAATGTTTCATACAAAAGTTTTAGGAGTTCATGAGAGCTATATTTTGATATAATTTTTAAATATACAGGGTGTTTGGTGTAGGTGCTACAGACAGATATTGCTCTTAGGTCAGTAGTGTTAGAGTACTTGAGAATGATGTAAAAACCGAAACCTTGGTCGTATTAATATCAATACATTAAGTAAGTGGAAATTAGACAAAGTATTTTATCTATATCATTTAATTGAACAATCAGTGCCTTCACTGTTCACCACTACTAACACAGAACCTGACAATGGTGATTCTTCATTTTAAGACAACTAATCTGTTGCTAATCTGTTTCCCTTTGTGTAACCATGGTTGATAATTTTTCGTAACTGAAAGGTAGAACTAGGACTCCTGGCTAGAATTCAACAAAAATACAGCTCCTACACATCAGGACTGCACTAGTGTAGTTCATCTCTTGGTGACGCTAGCATATAGTGTTTGTGTAGGATTGATTCATTTTTGTATCAAACGAATTGGGTTGCTTGTTTTCCAATTGAAATAGAACAAGCCAATGTATCTCCTTCACGAAATTTTTACGTTGCAAATTGAAATTGAGTTGAGATTGAAGGTGAAATTTTTGGAATGCCATTTTTGAATCCGACAGAACTTTCAAAAAATATAGACATCAATTCGAAATTTCCTGTTTGAATCCTCCAAGCAAGGAAGGTATCAGGCTCATTTTCGTGAAAGTCCCAACAATCCGTAGCTTCCATGAAGAGTTTGTAGTGGATCCCTATAATTACCGTTATCGGAATATGTTGATATTATGAATGCTGCATTTACCATTGTGGGCAAAAATGAATTCAATTTTTTGTTACATTTGTTACTTCAGTTAACTATGCCACTGCATTTCAAGCGGAAATCTATGGTATTGATTTGTGTGCGGAGAGATTGGAAGAATCCAACCTCATACACAAGTCAATAAAAATATTCTCGGACAGACAAGCGACGTTGGAAGCGCTTGGCTCCTATCGAGCAACGTCTAAACTGGTAGCAAATTGCCGAAAACAACTCTCCTCAATAGAAAGACTTAACAGATTGTCTCTGATTTGGATTCCTGGCCATACTGGCCTGGAAGGCAATGAGGCTGCTGACTCCCTTGCAAAGATGCTGCAAGCAGCTTCATCGGACCTGTCATTGACATCGCTGTAGGCTTTGTTAAACAAAGATTGAATACCTTGATGGCAAGAAGATTCATTGACTTCTGGCAGAATCTTCCAGGATTGGCTCACTCCAAAGCGTTTATTCACCCTTCGAAGCTTGATACCAAACAGCAGTAGGGATGAACTACGATGTCTAACAGGCCATCTCACAGGTCACTGTCATTTGAATCATCGAATGCAGAGACTCGGACTGTCGGAAGACAGTGTTTGTAAAATGATAAAACAGCACAGCACATACTTTGTGCCTGCCCCGCTGAGGACTTAATCAGTTCGGCAGAGCCCTACTCTTACCATCTGACTTGAAAGACCACTCACCATACAAACTAATCAGCCTCGTTAAGAAGTTGGGTTTATTTGGAAGAGTGTGAATAGGTGTGAGCCACAATAAACCCTTGCGGGTTGTGGTGGAGATTCGAATAGACCCACTCACTTTGGAAGTAATTTAACCTAATTCAATTTATTTTTTCATTGTCATTATTTTTTGGCTTTGAAGGCCGTCTATTTCTGGAATTCGTTCACTGGCATGTGTGGCTAGTTTCTTCAGAGATTTATACACTCTGAGTTCATCTTCGATGACTGGATGGACTGAATGGAAGTTGCTGCTTGAGTATGAAAAGTTGAAGGAACTCATTTTCAGAATTGACTTTGGTTTTGGTGAGTGCCAAAGAATATGAGGTCTATTATTTGAAGATGTTGGTGCAAGGAATTGAGAATATCAGTCTTCTGATGTTGCAATATGTTAGCAACTGCAGTTGTCATGATGCTTCAAGAATCTCTCGGAACTGAAAACAGACAGCATAAAAATTGAAATGTTAGTTCGAAAGCAAAAGCAAAGTTCCACTATGCCAGTCATTGCCAGGATGTTTAAACCTCTGAAGAAGCTGGACACTCGTGCCAGTGAAACGTCAGGAAGAAATTCCAAAAATCGACGCCCTTCAAAACAGAAAAATAGTGACACTGAAAACCTCGACCGCAAAAGCCTTAACCATTCTGTCAATGATTCATTTTTTGTTACACTTGGCTTTGTTCCTTTGTTCTTACTTGCTAGCTCACACCTATAATAGTTTTTGGTTCAGAAGTAGCGTATTATTGTAAATCCATATATATTCGGTGTTGGTGACTTCGGATGCGTAAAATTCATTCCGGCAACCAAATGTTTCCCATTACGTGACTAAATTGCACTAATGAAGGCCAATATGCCAGAAAAATTAAATTTTTCTGTAGTGCCTACCTTTCTTTTTTGTTATATTCGCCACTCAGTAAACATTTCCTCGTATTCATAACATGTATGAAATAAAATAGTAAATTTTTGTTTCAGTTTGATGAGAAGGACCACCAGCGAAAATTACGTGAACAGGCAGGAATCGGACTCTTGATAAAAAATACTTATTCAGTTTTGAACTCTTTATTTTTTGGTGAAGTACTAATCAATATAAATAAGATGTAAATTATTGGAAAATAAACAAGTTTCTGATATAAAAAGCGTTTCATTATTGTACCGTTGAGTACTCTAATAGGAGCATTCCTGATCCTTCACGAGGAACTTTCAAAGTCGGTGTTTTTATAGACATTTGTCATATATTTGTATGGCATTTTAAAAATTATAGAAGATGAATTGATCATCATGCACATATACGCGGAAAAAAAACTAAGCTTTGCTCTTTCCTATCTCAATCTTTTTGATAGTGATTTGGTGACAGCTCGTTCAACAACTAGAAATTCATATCACATGTAGTCAGTGGGCATACTCGAAGATTGGCTATAAATCAAGTCATCTAAAAGAACAATTCGTTCAGGCTAGTCTCAACTTCCTACACTGTAGGGTAATGGACTGACACCTATATCAGAAAATCTATTGCGGCAGTTGTATCGCCAACAGCATATGCACGAATAACTTCAGTTAAGAATCCTACACTGACACCTGTCGGATATAATCCAACGCACTTCGTGGTATTAGCCAGGAGACTAGTTGTTTTCTGATAGGTGTCAGACCATTAACCTACAGTGTAGGGAGTTGAGACTGGTCTGAACGAATTGTTCTTTTAGATGATTAGAAATTCATAAACGAGTTCAAATTTACAACAATCAGCTGAAATTCATGTTAGTATAGAGACACCAAACAATTGTTTCATTTCCAAGAGTAACTAATAAGAGGTGAAACAGGAACCTATGGTGAGAAATAAATCCAAAACAAGTACTTTCTTCAGGAAATGAAGAAAATTGAATACTTCATCTCCTGTAGATGCCAACTTGGTTGGTGAAACTCCCAATGAGTATTGCATTTCTGGTGACTGGCGAAAGTGCTCGTTTTGGATTGAAGAGTAACTGCAAAATTGTTACACGTTTTGATGATATGAAAACTGTGTAAACGTATATTACTGACGTTTTATCCCAACACCAACCGTTATTTTTAACACCCCAACGCGTGGTTCAATCACCAATTGATCATCTTCAAGAGGAAGATTCAACTCATGTATGTATGTTCGATCTTCCTCATGATGATGATCACTTGGTGATTGAAACACGTGTTGAGGTGTTAAAATAACGGTTTGGTGTTGGGATAAAACTCCGGTTCTATTCATTACTACACCAAAGGTTCCACACAGTTCATCACAAATGTGTGAACGTAGTGAAATTATTAGGTTGAAAATGAAAAATTAGGTCATTTCCATGCGGAAATTTCATTATCAAACTCGTTTCATTCATATCAAGCACTCCATATCGTATAAATATTCTAGCTATATCATCGAAACTGATACTGTCAAAGATGTCAATTTCAGACGTCAAAGCAAAGATAGTGGACGGAATAAGATAAAGACGGTTTAGAATTGAATTAGAAAAGTTCGGTAGATGCTATTAGGTATTGTGACTAGATTTACTGTTACTTATTTCTACATAAAAGGAAGGAAAAATAATACAAAATAAATACAATGAAACTAAAAAAATACATTTCAGTGAAAGGGATGTTCTGAAACGTATTCACCACTCATTTTGATTGTCACATTCTTCAAATAGTCTATATAAACAACAATGATTTCTGTAGTAGAAGAACATTATATCTCGAAGTGGAGTGTAGTAGATTTACGATGCCGAGAAACTCAAAGTCATCCCACCCTCAGATGTTAGAACGGTAAAACCATCAATCAGTACATGTTTCATGTTCTGCACGAGTTGATATGTATGTGGTGGTCCTTCTTCTGTTGTGTTCTGTGCTTGCAGGTATCTTGTCACTGTTCCATCTCATCTCGACTTCATTTCTCCATATATTTTTGAGAGTTGATTCTCTTTTCTAATCCAATTCAGTTCGGATCTCTTTCATTAGAATCCGTTTTAATGTGATGTTTTTTGATTTTGATTTTAATTATTGGGCATGAAGGCTGTAAGCCTCTTCTCTATGTAAGTATTTTTATACTTCATTGTATTAACTATTATTATGTTGTTCTTCTTTCATTATGGAATTTTCAAATAATCAGCTGGTGATGAACCTAAATAGGTTCGAAACATGTACTGAGTGATGGTTTTACCGTTCTAATATCTGAGAGTGATATTAAATTGTGGAGACGACTTCGGAGTTTTTCTGCATCGTAAAACGATTTTCTGAATTGAATTATTTGAAAGATCCGTTAGTTTGTATAAACATTTATAACTAATGCATAATAATATTAACTATCATTCATGTGTCACGAACTTTTCGAACAATAAGAATTTTCTGTTTCATTTATCGCAAAATGTGAAAAAATTTTGATATTTATGGAAGAAATATAACATCCTTATAGGATCCTTATAGGATCCTATAAGGAACGTTACAAGATCCTTATAGGATCTTGTAACGTTCTGTTCATTATCAAGTAGTTGTATCAGGTCAAAGAACACCCCAAATAAATTAAATTCCTTATAAGATATAATACTTATGATTATGATTGTATGATAAGAACACTATGGAATATATAAATAAATGAATTGTTGTTAGCAATCGTAAAGTAGTATCTTTTAGTATTTATTCTATATATATATACAATGGTAGACTTCGTTGACATATTATTTCAAATAACCATCAAATATTTAATAGAACGTGAAATAATTGGAAAGTCAATTTCACCATTCTGATTTTTCCATAATCCCTAACCTTATATCAAATACGAGATTCGTTGGCACGTTTTTTGGTATAAAAAAACTCAGTAGAAAAATACTGGCTTCTCAGTAAATGTCCATCTTGATTCTAAAATGGTGTCGCCTGTTTGTTACAGAGCATAAACGAATGACCAGTAAAACAGATTGAAAATTAAAAAAGTTACTGGAAACACTATCCTAGATTTCTTGTCGATCCACATGGCCACTTCCTGTGGAGACATAGTCGTCCACGTAGGGTGATCTGGAGTTTGCATGTCACTATTTGGTATGGAAATGATACTATCACCCTTACTGCCCATGAGATCATCATGGCTGAGGGCAGCTATTTTAGGTATCGGGAAGCTCTAAAAAAAATTAAAATTCACTATGAATCTCAACTCCATAAGAATTCATCAATCTTGATGAGTACAAAAGCTATTCGGATGTGAACTATAAGAATATTCATTTAGAATGGAGATCATGAGAGTTAATGATTTACAAGAGACAAAAAAAGTTACGTGCCTATTAATTAGAAAAATTAACAAGTTCCAATGCCCCAAATTCATTATATTCAGGTATAAATATGCGCTGAATAATCGAATATCTAAGAAGTAAGGGGGAAATATAATATGAAAAAATTCATTAGTTCAATATGCTAAATGGTAGGAAACGATGAAGAATCAACTTAGATGAGACAACTTTAATACCTGGAGTATACTGGACTTTCGATCGAAAACTTGACCCCCCTTCCCTGTAAGTCAGAAACGGATGTGTAATTTCTAGAATTCTTATATGGAAATTATACCCGAAACTTCACCCCTCTGCGGTCAGCAACTACCCCCCTGTTTTTTTCAATGGCATGGGGGGTCGAGTGATACATCATTTGAAAGGTATTTTGTGCCTCTATTACTTTTATGATTTTTTTCGAAATAGGTTCATTTGTTATTGAGAAATTGAATGTGGAACGTTTTATTTAAGAAAAAACAGGAAATTCACTGTCGCTCATTTTATTGAGGAAATCAATGAAAGTGATATCAATTGCAACACTACATTATTGAAGATGTCCGGAGTCAGAAATCGGCATTCACCAACAATTCTCTATCGCAGGTCTTCTAGATTTGTAGAATTTATTCAATTAGTAGTAAACGTTTTGAAATGTGCGACACTGTTAGTTTTTTCTGCACAGGTAGTTTTTGTTGAATCTAGTTGTCGCAAAGCAAACAGTAGAAAGTTGGCGACTGTCACTTCTTCACGAATCATTATTCAGTCATCCTTGTTCACTGTGTTCCAACATGGTTTATTCTACTGAAGAAAGAATATAAATTGTTGCAACCTAATATCGTAATAATGAATATGCTGAAGCTGCTGCAAGAATTTATGATACGAATCATCCAGACCACAACGTGAGGCATCAATACGTTAAACAGAAGACCTGCGACAGAGAATTGTTCGGGAATACGATTTCTGACACCGAACATCTTCAATAAAGTAAGGAACGCTTTCGAAAGTAGACTTTATATTGTATGGAACAAGATGGAGGTCATTTTGAACACTTTATGCATTGAGTGTGTTGCCATTGATATTATTTCTGTGGATTTCCTCAATGAAATGAGCGACAGCAAATTTTATGCTTCTTCTCAAATTAAAAAAAAATCTACACAAAATCTGTTTTTCTGTTAACCAGCTGTCGCACCCCTATGAACGACAATCCTCAGAAGTTGAAACTTGTGCGAGCTAAGGACTAATGAGGTTTACCTTTTTAACGTGTGATTCCTAACACGTTCAACATTTAATTTCTCAATAACGATTTGACCAATTCGGAAAAAAATTACAGATGTAATAGAGGGAAAAAGCACCTTTCAAATGATGTATCATTTCACCCCCCATTTCATTGAAAAAAATAGGGGGGTATTTGCTGACCGCAGCGTGGTGAAGTTTCGGGTATGATTTCCATATTCATATCAGAATTAGTCTCTCTAGGAATAGAAATTGACGGGTTCTTTGAAATTTTCAATCACACGTCCGTTTCTGACTTACAGGGGGGTCAAGTTTTCGTTGGAATGCCCTATATAATATAGTCATTCGAAACTTGAATGTCTTTGAGAGTGTATCGAAAAAACAGTTGCAAATATGTACAAAAAAAGCAAAAGTTCAAACAAATTTATCAGTTGATGCTAATGTCCTTACTCAGAACCCAGCTGATGCAGGTTGGGGCAAATTAATCCAAGGTTTTGAATATTCTGGTCTTTCATGTTAAGTAGAATTGATAAGGAAGCTGATAACCATAGAGTTGAGAGTTAGAAGCTTATGATTTGGAAAAGCTCACAGTACTTGAGAAGTCATGAAGACATCGCTGGAAATCTTTGATTTGAAGTAATGGAAAAGGACTTGACGGATTATTTACTTATTGCATTCGCCAAGAAAAAACGTGAATATAAAAAACCCCATGATGATCGAAATAATTCAAGATATTACTTCGGAAGTGAGTTGTCTTCGAAAGGCGGACGTTTTTTTAGCAAAAAAAAATCGTGTTTTTCTCATCATCTACTATAGAATAATTTTTGGAGGTTGAATATTTATGTCTGAGTAATCAAGTTTTTTCTCAAATTCACTGATCCCATACATTATGAACTATTGACAGTTACACATGAACAACTTTTGGTTATTAAAAAATTAACAGTTTTACAGTAAAAAAGTAAACCTACGTGTACTGTTAAGTAATTATTTTGTGAATTTTTCTCCTCCTGTTCTTTATCTAAACTGGAGCAAGACCTTGCCTTGTGAAGTGTATTCATGGATGCTGCTTTCCTCATCTGTTTCCTGGCTAAACTAGGTGTCAAAGCTCCCTTCAGTATATATCTGCCGTTTTGTTTCTTCAGCTCGACCTTTTTCCTGTGAAAATTTAAGGATGAAAAAAATCTTTGGTGACGATAATTGGTTCGACAATAACAGAGGGTTAAGGCAAAATGATTCTTCAGGAAATGATACTGATTGCCCAACTGAAATTGAAATTCTAGTCCGTTTATGGTTTGTTGCGATGATGTTAATCGTATTCAATGTGTTAGTAATTGGAAGTAAGCAGGGTTTCTGGCTTTTCAAAAAGATATAGATTCCAGGTTTATGGTCCTTCCGCATGAACCAAGATACACTAATGGAAAAGATCGTATTTTCAAAAAGTGAACGTGATACTTTCGAATGTCTGGAAATAGAGAAGTGTGGCGCGAAGATTACGAACAGTGGAAAAACTTCCATCACGATCAGCCCATTGTTCAAAAATCACACAGTAAAATCAGCGGGCGATTTCACGAGAAAATTTTTCGGAAATTTCTCACCAAATCAGTGATGTGTGTTGAATATAAATAGAGGTCACTTTCACAGTTAGATACTAGTTTACTTCATCTCCTAAAGACGCAGACTTGGTTAGTGAAACTAAGGTTGAAAGGAGTATTTTTGTTCTGGTGTTTAGAAAACACCAAAGTTAAGATTTTGTCCCATAGGTTCAACATGTAACCCTGAAACTCGATTAACTTTTTCAAAGTTCGCCATCGGTGATGGTCGAAAGGCGTTTTGTCTTGTTCTTGGATGGGGAACTAAAAGAATATACATATCGCCGGTATTGGTCGTGTGGAAATTTTTTCATCCGAACTAGGTTGCGAAGACGGAAAACGCTCGTAACACTAACTTCAATCTAACTTCAATCTAACCTAAACCCTAATCATTCCCGCAAAGATGGCTGGAAATCAGCCGCTGAGCTAAATCAAACTTAAACCTGAACTAACCTAATTCAACCGAAACCTTAATCATTCATCTAAGTTTCACACATTAAAGTTTCTGACATTAACTCGACATGTAACCTTGAATCTCTAAAATATAAATATTATTGAAATGGTCTGTGCGGAATTCTTTTCGAATTGAGTGACGACAAAGACTGCTCACAAAAAACCTAACTCAACCTGAGCTGAATTGGATTCAAACCTAGTCTGAACCCTAATCATCCACACAATTGCTCAAAATCGGTTGCTGAACTGAATTCAATTCAAACCTAACCTAACTTGATCTAATCTAAAACCACATAATGTATTTACTCTCTTTCATAGACAACATTCAACATCAAAACTCGGGGATTGCCATAATATGCGCTATGTATTATTTCCAAAAGAGGAATTCAAAAATATAAATGTCATCTAGAATTGTCGCGGGGGTTGAAGTGGATGTTACTCCAAGTTCAACGACAACATTATGGAAATCGGCTGCTGTGGCGATAGGTTACGTTAAGATAGTAGAGGGGCTTTCAACAGGGACTTCCGAACTTTGCCGATTGATAACAACAACCATCTTGTTGAAGCTACATCTGTTAGCCAGTTTTGCCAAATCACCATGGATATAGCATTCGACAACGCGTGCAGATAAGAACATTGTTTTATCAAAATGTGTGTTCTGTTTGGGCAACGTATGTGGTAGATTCAGTAAATGATCGACAAATACCCATACGTCGACGAAACGCAATATCTGCCGAAAATATCTCCACTGTCTGTGAGAGTGTGCAGGAGAATCCGAGTTAGTAGATTTCGCGTCGTTGACAAGAACTCGACGTTTGCATCATAAAATGGGCCTGCACCCCTACAAAATTCAACTGACCACGGAAATGAAGGTGAAAAAGCACAGACAACGACGTGTGTTCGCTGAATTGGCTCTGGAGCAGTTGGCACAAGCCCCAAATTTCCCTCCCTGAAAAAAAATCTTCAGTGTTGAGGCCCGTTTCTGGATGAATGGGTACGTGAACAAAAGAATTTTTCGAATTTGGGATGATAACAATCCATATGAGATCCTAGACCGTCAATGCATCCTGAAAAAGTCACTGTTTGGTGTGGATTTTGAACTGGCGGCATCATCGGTCGTTGATTAACAACTCCTTTCTGATGCTGAATTTACAGAGGAGATGGATGTCGAGCTTACGAATCCAACTGACCTCCCTGTAAATTTAGATCAGGAGCGGGAGCTTCTCAACTCTCCAACTTCTGACCCAATAACTGAACCTAAATAAAGGTTTGGTGGTGCTGCAGCCAGGAAACGACTGAGTCGTCTCCTCAAGAGCGTGGTACCTTATGAAACCGCCTTGCTCCAAATTTTTGAGCGGCATACGCAGAATCTGTCCCAGGTGGAAGAACAAACCACCCATAAGCAGGTTAGCAAACGTTTGCGCTCAAGTGATTATTCACCAAAACCAGAGGCGAAAAAAAAAGCCCTGCACGGTTGAATCAAAGGCATCGTCAGGTGTAGCTGACGTGCAAAAACCCTCATATGGGAAGGTTTGTCGCGGGTATCAAGGTGGGAATCTTGCACCTTAACTATCCGACTAATTCATTAACGATGAAACAGCAGAGCATATACTTTGTGCCTGCCCCGCTGGGAACCGAATCAGGTTCTTAGAGTTCGGCGGAGCCGTACTCTTACCATCTGACCTGAAAGACCACTCACCAAACAAAATAATCGGCTTCATCAAGAAGCTGGGTTTATTTGGTCTAGTGTGAATAGGTGTGAGCCACAATAAACCCTTGTGGGTTGCGGTGGAGGGTCGAATAGACCCACTGACTTTGGACGTATCCTAACCTAACCTAACCTTTTGGCCTGAATTGAATGATCTGGACACCATCGAGATGTGGTTTCAGCAGGACGGCACTACCTGCCACACAGCTCATGCCACATTTGATTTTATGTACGAGTGATTTGAAGGCATGGTCACGTGGAGGTGGTGTAAACTGACTACCGAGATCATGCAAATTTACCCCGTTAAACTATTTTGTAGTGTTTTCTTGGGCTGCAGGTGTATGCGAATAAGCCACAAACTACAGCGGTCCTTAAAGCCAAGATAACCAGTGCTATTGGTCATATTAAGCCTGACTTGTGCGTCAGAGTTATGAGAGTTATGGAAAGTTAGAGAAGCTATGGCGGACATTTGAACGATGTTTTATTCCACACCTGAGGGCATCAATAGATCTTTCATAGATCTATTGATGGGTTCATCAAAAATTGACATTGGGCATTCCCGCGCTCTTAGCTACGTCACGTTTGGTTTATGGTTACCAGTGGCGGCCAGCGTTATTTACTTTCGGGCATGATTTACAACAATATGAATAAAACAAATCGATGATACACACACACTTTGTTTTATTTGAATTTTAAGATAGCATGCGCTTAATGACAGACTCTATATGAGCAATAAGAAGAATGCTATTTATGGAAGTCTAAATTCATTGACTACCAAGAATATTGACAATAACTAATTGGAACTGCATTTCCTGTGATTCATGAAACCGAAGTATTATTATTTGAAACAATACCGATCGAACTATTTTAAAACAATAGAGATTGTTGAGTATTTGAATAAAGCTGTCGAAATGTTTGTTAGTATTATTTTATTCGATGATAAAAGGATCATACATCAATATCTAAAATGTTGAAATTCGGACTTCATCTAACAACTGTAACTTTGAAACTCGCGATTTTAACAGTTGGACTCGAACATGCTGAGGCATAGTTTGAATAGTAGAATAGCGAACCAATGAAAACAAACTCTTATTTTTATTTGCAGTGAAGTCACAATGAAATGAACTAATCAAATCGACTCACCTTCTTCGCCAAATTACGTTTACAAATGCGAACTCTGCTAACGAGAAAAATATGAAGCTAGAACATGCAAGAAACCAAATTTCACTGGCTTTAATGTAGGAAACTTTTGGTAGATTCTTAGATAGTCCTCCATTGAGTGTAATGAATGACAGCATAGTGGCGGTACCTATAAAAATAAAAAAAACTGGTGATGTAATAATATCTTCGTATCACACCTTGACGTTTATGGGATTTTTTCAAGCACATATAGGTTTTCTCTAATTTTATCGTGGAAGATTCGACACGAATAAAGAATGCTATAGAACTATCACGACTGAACAATGGTACGATCAATACCAGATTGCTGTCTAGAAGTTTTTAAGGACAAAAAACAAGCACTACACGAAAATCCTCAAGGTGCCTGTGCGATTTCACAAAATCAAAGATAAAAGTATAGGGAAAATGCTCGACCATATCGATTTTTTATTTTAAATTGCCATTCGAGCATATTATTTACACCCCCTCTTCTCCATTATGAAGTACTGACAACTCAAACTTTGAAATATTAAAGAACCAAACTCCCCTTGCGATATTTGGATTGATACATCTGTTTATAACAAATTCCAGGAAATAATTTGCCAACATTTTCACTGAGGCGCAACATTATACTGCAACTAAGTTTGGTGACTGGGCGCTTCAAGATATTCTACATAAGAAACATAGGCGAATAACTAAATCATGTTCATCAAGCAGATGTCATTTTATGAAAAAAGTCGAAGTTTTTAATTGAGCCAGATGTTGCATAATTGTATTACAAAGTTGCATTGATTAATCGAATTGATTGTTGGAAAATACTTGAACCAGGTCCACTATAAACGTTTTTGATATTCTTTCACCTATTTTCATCTGTTTAACAAATACATGTCCGTAGACTTGTGCACATTGCCAATTGCACAAATCAGTTCAATGCAGAGTGCAACAGACTCTTGGTTGACATAACCAACAGTCACAGCATTCTGGAAATGACCTACGAAATCAACTACGAACTGCCTCACAAAATACTGTTCCTGAGTAGAGAGGACTGGATCCTGCGGGAGAAGGAAATATTAAGAGCAGATAGTTGTTGGTTCACAGATGGATCAAAAACACCTTTCAGTTCTGGTGCAGGTATTTTCAGTCGCAGACCCAGGCAGGTTGATATCTCTCAACCTGCCTAGGAACCTATGCGACTGTATTTCAAGCGGAAATTCACGCTACTGAATTGTGTGCGGAGCGATTGGAAGAATCCAACCTCATACACAAGCTCTTGGAAGGAAGACACAACGGATTGTTTTTGGTCTGGATTCCTGACCATACTGGCCTGGAAGGCAATGATATTGGTGACTCCCTTGCAAAGAAGGGTGCTGCAAGCAGCTTCATAGGACCAGAACCTGTCATTGGCATCGCTTTAGGCTTTGCCAAACAAAGATTGAACACCTGGATGGCAAGAAGATTTATGGACTTCTGACAGAAACTTCCAGGATTGGCTCACTCCAAGACATTCATTCACCCTTCAAAGCTTGATACCAAACAGTTGTTGGCCTACAAGGGATGAACTACGATGTCTAACAGGCCTTCTTACAGGTCACTGTCATTTGAATCATTATATGCAGATACTCGGACTCTCGGAAGACAGTGTGTCTTACTTCTGTTTGGAAATGATGAAACAGCGGATCACATATTTTGTGCCTGCCCTGCTGAGGACCGAATCAGGTTTTCAAAGACCACTCACCATACAAACAAATCACTTTCGTTAAGAAACTGGGTTCATTTGGTCTAGTGAGAATAGATGTGAGCCACAATAAAACCGTGCGGATTGCGGTGGAGAATTGCATAGACCCACTCACTTTGGACCTAACCCTAACATGTTCAAAATCGCAAAATTTGATATGGGTTCTTCATAATTGGTTATATCGGCAATTCTTGGGGTTTCGTTAAATGAAATAGAAATTTTTTCATGGGGCTGACTTTCGTTTTCTTTCTGGAAAATTAGATTTTTTGGTTTCAGTAAGTCTCACACGGAGTCACACACTAAATGTATTTGACGTAAATAAAAATAACTCTCCAGCAATGGCTGGTCAAATTTTGACACCTTTATTTGAATACATTTTGGTTAATGCCTCGTAATTTTTTTAACAGAATTTCCTTTTTTTCTCAATTGAAATTTTTGAAGTTGGAGTGGAATTTTTAAACAGATTTAATGGAGATGATTTCATTGTAGTTGATTTATCTATGTTCAGAGGAAGGCTGTATATTAGTGGTGAAATTTCGATGAAGTTAATCTTTACACCAAACGAGAATGCTACCTTAGTTCGATTCGATCTACAATGAGAAGCAATAAACTTCAAAAACGATCTGCAGGTGATGAATTGATTAATTTCTGCAACATTTAATGGAACTGATTGATTCTAAAATGAACACGCCTGAGGAAGTAATTGTATAGTAAAATACGTGTTGCGGATTTGTAAACTATTCTGTAAAATCCTTACAATACTGATTTATATGAATAATATCAGCAAGTTTTTGCTAATGTGATATAAGAGTTCTACACGAATGTTTATATTAGATCTATTCCAATATCAGTCATGTTAATGGCAGGAAAGTAGTATTTTCACGTCACGCATGTGACAAATTCTGACGTGGGTGCTTATGTGGTTAATGCTTCCTGACGTTTCTCTGGTGCGAGAGGCTAGCTTCTTCAGAGGTTTATACATCCTGGGTTAATAATATCCGATGATATTAACCCTTCGAACCCGAAAAATAGTGACACTATGAAATGATATATTGTATTATAAAGAATATCATTGATAAAAACGAATACGAACCTAATGTTACTCTTGGCGGTGCTGCGTCTGCTTGAAGCCAAAATGTTACCCAAGAAGTACAAACGAGAAGTATGGAAGGAATGTAGTAGTCCATGATGTAGTGACCAATTTCTCTCCGTAGTAGAAATTTGAAAACGACTGAACTGTAATTTCCAACTGGAATGAAACGAAAAATGGATTAGTGTCATTGGAAATAGATTTACATACATTTTTGAAGTAACCAAAATAATGAAATTATTCCATTTGGCTCTTACACACTGTATACATTAATACATTTTTTGCATATATTATTTTATTCGGAAGTGAAGTTTGTCAATATGACAAGATACTGAATTGAATTATTCAGTGGTGTATATTAAGCAGTGATTGTGATTTTATGGGGTGAGGTTTCAGCCAACACATCAGCAGGTTCTCTACTGACTTACTCTGTTAATTTTTCAGATTCTTGAAGGTTGAATAACCAAAAAACAGTAAGAAATACCTGCTATGTTTCTCAGAAATAGAATACGAACTGTACTTTAACAATTCTTTGTTTTCCTTGAGGTTTGCAAGGCCACCTTGTGACAATAGTCCCCTCAAATATGAAAGTCACAAAACGTCATACATTTTCGACGTTTGAAAAAAAATATGTTGTCGAAGATGACAAATTCACTAAAATGGTGTCAAGAGTCAAAATAGCAGTAAAGCTCAAATCAGAAAATATAAATAAACCTGTGAAAAATGTTCTTCTGAAACCAATCAAAGGAGAAAAACGAACAAAGTGGAAATGTTCAGCACCAGAAGAAAATATACTTTTGAAGCAGGATGTCTTTTCGAAAGAAATGATGGGATTCGAGCAATACTTCAATAAATTGGATTATGAGAAGAAATTGCTTTATTTGAAAAATGTAGAGACACGCTTAGAACGCAAGAGACAAGAAGAAGATATTACTCAGTTTATTATAATTTGTTTTGTGATTTTGGGACTAATAGCTGTATTTTATTTCACATTATAATGTAAGAAATCTTCGTATCTCTATACTTATAAATGCGAAAGTCACTCACTTTGCCCTCACACATTCATATCTGTTTCTTCGTACTGGTAAATCTTCGGAAGCTAAAATTTGGCAGATAGGTGCTTCTTAGGTCTTAGATGCGAATATCTCAACTGGGCGCCCCCCCGTCGGGGTAAAAGAGGCGTGCTTAGATATAAATTTACATGTTCATCACTGTTTTTCCGTACTGCTACACTTTCGGAGGCTGAAATTTTGTATGTAGGGTCGTTTCTTGTTGTAGATGTGCAATAAGGAAGAATTTTTGAATATTCCAACTAGGGAACCCCCCGTCAGGGTAAGAGAGGCGTATTTACATATGTACCAGTGTATTTTTGGAGGCTTAAATTTTGTATGTAGGTTTGTTTTATGTTGAAGATGTGTATTAAGAAAGGATTTTTAAATATTCCAACTGGGGAGCCCCACTGGGAATAAAAGGGACGTGTTTACTTATGAAAATTACCTTTTCATCACTGTTTCTCCGTACTGCTATATTTTCGAAAGCTGAAATTTGGTATGTGGGGTCTTTTATGTTGTAGATGTTCAATAAAGAAGGCTTTTTGAATATTCCAACTGTGACGCCGCCTCGTCGGGGTAAAAGAGGCGTGTTTACACATGAAAATTACTTTTTCATCACTGTTTCTCCGTACTGCTATATTATCGGAAGCTGAAATTTCGTATGTAGGTTTGTTTTATGTTGTAATTGTGCAATAAGAAAGGATTTTCAAATATTCCAACTGGGGCGTCAGCCCCTAAATAATTGAGTTTATAATCCTTGGAAATTTACAAGCATAAACATTGCGGGTGCGACCTGTTAAAGGATCAAATCGATTAAATTTACTCTCCGGTTTTTAAATTGGCACATCCGCATTGTGAACTGCAAATTCAGGTACTCAATCAAGTCAAGGACGAAACTGCAGTAATGTTAGTTACAATTGAAAGTGGTGAAAAACAAAGAAATTTTCATTTCTCTTTTCATTATGATCTCCTACCACGTAGTAACGGCTACATCCATCAATTTACTTTTATTTATTCTGTCAAAAATAAAATAAAACATTCTAATCTGATTTTCAAAATCTGTAGTTACCAACATAACTACCCGACAAGATTTTGAAGCAATTCGAAAGTGATGAAAACAAATATTGGGCAGAATTTCAAATATGAAAGTATGATGATCTATGAACACTTCGAAAATTTTAACAAACACAACTTTCAAATCAATTTGAGAAAAATTTATTGCTTCAGAACTGTGTATATGTTCTCTGAAATGCGTGTTCATGCATAAAATGTTGATAATTGATATTCTTCATTTTATTCGACTCTCAACTTATATTCAATCAATATTATTTTGGATCATTACTTATAGCCCAATTCCTCGTGTACCTCAAGGCTTCAATTGAGGTCCGTTATTCAATTCACATTTCGTAAACGATTTGATTGATGAAATATATATCATAATTATCTATCAATATCCCACTTAACTGATTGAGAGCAACTCCAGAATGACCTGAATGAAGTGGAACTGTAACCCATACAAAGAAAACTATTTCTGTGAACGTTCGATAATCGGAATAAAACTGTCTTATAACGAGATACTCCCATGTAATATCTGGGTGTTGTCTTTGATCCATATATTGATGTCCCCAGCATATGAAATATGAACCTTGAAGTTTTGAATGCATTTAGGATGTACGGTGTCATAGATCATAGGTTTGAAAGTTTCACTAATATTTTTGCTCTGGTCAAAGTTGGAATATTGAACCAATAAACGGATTCCTTACTATACCATACACATAATTATGTTCGAAAACATGCGGAGGAAGTTCCTCAACTATTTGGCTTCCAAACTTCACTGTACATACCAACAGCGGGGGACCGGAAACAAGTTGATGATCGAGATATTTAACATTGACAATTTGGTCTATTTCATACCTTTACAAATTAGTTCATAATTTTAATAATCTACTGAACAGAGTAGGGCTATTTGCGATTATTAACATTATTCATGTAGTTTCAAGAACTCACCTAGACCTCCCCTATTGAATGCTGGCTGTATCACAGTCTCATCAGTCCACTTTTTCTCCATAACGAATTCTGTGAGGTGGAGGTTGCTCGCCACCAAAAATGGTCGAGTTCGTTCCCATTTCAGAATCAGATTCGTAACGTTGTAATCCCCTGAAACATTCAATTATTTTAATATACTTTTTTCCCACAAATTTTGCATTTGAATGAATAGGTTGATTTTCACGAGGCCCAACTTATGCTACCCCCTCTTTCCTCGCTTCGCTTCACCGATTCAGCGGAAGCTGACCGTTTGGCAGTAGTTGGCCGTTATCCGCTTGATTATTGGTTTCCATACGTTGCGTATCTCTACACTAGTTTGAATAAATGCGTTATCGAACAATATACATGCGGCTTCTTTGAATTTTTTCCTAAACCAGTGTTCCTACTTGTGGCTGATTTCAGCTTAGTTTCACCAATGTAGGATTTCCCACACTAGCAAGGTATCCGGTAAATGCAAGTCTTGGAATCACAGTTTGCGTTTGGTGGCCTAGTTTTTGTAAGGCTGCTACGGATAGTGTTTCCGGATCTGAAGCTGGTTCTGATTTTATACTTGGACCCAAGCCAAAGTATGTTTGCACCATCACTCTGGAGTAACCATTCCGAATTAGGTCCAAGTATAACATCAGAACCTGCTTCAGATCTAGGAACACTATCCGTAGAAGTCTCACGAAAACTAGGCCACCAAACGTGGACTGCGATTCCAAGAATTGCATTTACCGGATACCCTGCGAGTGCGGAGAAACCTATATCGGTGAAACTGGGAGGCTATTGAACGTTAGCATTGCCGAGCACAAGAAACACACACAGCGAGGAGAAACCAGCAAATCTGGAATATCAGAGCATGTTTGGGCTCATCAACATAACATCAACTGGTCCCAAGCTGAACACTGGTTTAGGAGGAAATTCAAAGAAGCCACATTTATGTTATCCAACAACTCATGTAGACAAGCTAGCGTAAAGATACGCAATATGTGAAAACCCATAATCAAGCCGAAAACGACCAACTCCTGCCAAATGGTCAGCTCCCGTTAGACCAATGAAGCGGAGAAAGAAAAGAGGGGATAGGTGGAAGCACTCGAGTGACCTATAAATAGTCATCTCTCGTAAAAATGAGTCTAATCATCACCCTAATACCATTGTGGATACTAATAATGGAAACGTCGTGAAGTAACTTGACTTGAAATCTTTTAATTTTTATTTTTTAGATTTTAATTTTCTATTTCTTGTTATTTGTTCAATTTTCTTTTGTTGCTTGTGTTTATTTCATTGCAATTTCAGTTATGGGTTTTCTGCTATTTTCAGCTAGGTACTCTTTTTTAATTTTATTGATTCTTTCAGGGCTTTCAAATCAATTTATATCATATTAGACAATGGAAGTTCGAACTAATGAAATTGTCAACTACCTTCAAAGAAATTATAAGAAGTGGTTTTTTATATTATCAAAATTGATCCTCCTTACAGTATTACTCTCAGTAGCTTTCAATTCTACCCATGACCCGATTGAAATATTTGAACAAAAAAAGCTGTTTTTGTTCCTCAGTTATAGAAGAGGCAGCTTTACTGACTTTCATTGTGGATTTTGATGAGTACTTCTAAAGTGTAGTAGACTATTTTATTTGATATCAATAGTTTTCGCACTGCAGGCCAAATGATAACTTTTATAGAGACATTTTTGGTAACTTGGGTTGAATTATTGCAATTCAGGTAGAAATATCTGTTTTTTTTGAGAATATACAGCTCATGTTACTTGGCAAAAATGTAACTTCCTAGAGGTGAAAGAGTTCCTGAAATCCGTTGAGTAGATTTTGGGTTTATCCATTACGAGTGAACATACAAAAATCAGCGTTAAATATTAATTTATATGACAACATTTTTAGGACATTTCTTGACAGTGGATATCGAGTTAGAACTATGATATAACGTAATTTTGTCAAAGCTACTTTTCGGGTTTGTTGGTCGTGGTCTGCAGGTTTTGATGTTTAACGTCATCGATACATTTTTTTCAATAAAAATTATAGAAAAACATTTTTGAACAACTCACAGCTAACCCATTTGAGTTCGCAAATTTGATTATCAAAAGGAAATTTCTGTAAGTTCATCCAACAATAGAATGTCGTGCTCATTCTATAGGAATAAATGACATCTCCATTCGGGCTGATTTGAACTGACACGTCCTTGCCGTCCAGTCCCATCACATTCGATTCTCTTTCATTGTCAATTATGATGTGCGGTACCCAAATTCGATCTCTCAGTGATTCTCCGCCTAGAATAGCTAACCTGTTCGGTGAAAGATGAGAAAATGCCAGCCTGCTATCGTTGTAGAGAAGTTGGACCAACATGTGTGCTTTCAGTTGCTGAAAAAATAGAAAAATGTCAGAAATGATTTTACTATGAGGAGCAACTTCTTCATAAAAATATCAAATGTTTCAATCTATCCATATAGCTCTGAAGTAATAAACGAGTTTCGGCTTTTTGCTATCAGTTGTAAGTGGTGCATGTGGAAATTTTGGAAAAGTGGAGGATAAGTTGTCGAAAGTTCTTATACCTCTTTCACAAATCTAGTCATCAATTACGACTGAGATCTTTCTTAACGTGGTGAAAAAATGTTCATTATCGTAAAAGTGACCTCTATTTGCAAAAGTCATAAATCGTTTCTTGAAATTAGGGTTCAATGTCATTCATTTTTGTATGGTTGATCATTCAGTAAGCACTCAATTAAATCATATAGAGCGGCATGACCAAGTGAATAATTCTTCATAATATAAAAAAACTGATTTCACGTAAAATGCTTACAAATCTATCACCGAAAAACTCTTTATTTGAAATTTTCAAGGAATAGTTTACAAAACCGCAATACCTGTTTTATTATACAGTTGCTTTCTCATGCGTGTTCATATCAACTAAATTCCACCTAATTAATGCTTTAAGGAAGCACTGATAAGGAAATTGGTAATTAGTATATTACCTGCATATTCAATGAGTGGAATTTCTATCCTGCTGTATGAATTTTTCATTAGTTTAAACACAGGTAGAATTATAACGCAATCGAGAAACATGGAGAATCAGGAGCTGTTGCGCTTGATATTACTAAGGCGTTTGACCATGTGTGGCATGAGGATATGCTGGTCAAACTTTGATGTTATGGCTTTTCGGACCATTTTTGTGTATGACTCTTCAGCTTCCTGAAAGAATGTTCCCTGCAAGTGGCCGTCGATGGATATCTCTCGAATAGTTGTATCATCAACGTTGGTTTTCCCAAGGAATCCATATTGTCTCCAACCTTCTTTTAATGTATATCAACGACTTATTGGAAAAAATGAAAGCAATATATTGCTTTGCTGACGACAGCACACTTGTCT